TTAAATTCTAAATATTAATGTGTGCCTAAGATTAGCTACCGTATTATATTGGACAACATAGATCTAGAATGTCACAGATTCTACAGTTGACAGATCAGAAAATTGAAGCCTAGTGGGTCAAATCCACTGGCCATTTGCTACCTAACTTTTTAATTTCATACTGGTGAAATCCCGTGGGGAAAGGAACTAGGAGACCCCGTACCTTCTCAATGACATAAGGTGATCTGCCCCAATATGTGGAGAGCATGCATATCCACTTCAAGGCAGAAATGTTAGGTCAGTTGCTTGTAAGGAAAAACTTAGCAGGGGATCCCGCGATCAATTGTGTGTTCCTCTTCTTTGAGGCCCGTGTCTGAAGGAGCTGTGCTAATCGCCCTGTGTTTTCAAGTGCTTCACTCAAAATTGAGTGGCTATAATCTGCACACCTTAGGGCAGATATACAGTGATATGGGTAGGAGTAGAAGTCCTCAGCAAAAAGCAAAGCAGGGTTTGGGTACAGCTCAGTTGGTGAAGTGCTTGTCTAGCATGCACAAAATCTTGGGTTGTAGACCTAGCATAGTATAAACAGGTTGTGGTGGCTCACACCTATAATCCCAGCACTGCAGAGGCAGGAGATCAGAAAGTCAGTGCTATCCTCAGCTACATAGTGAGTTTATGGTCAGTCTACATGAGACCCTGTCTGGAGAAGAAGAAGAAAAGTAAAAGAAGGGGGGAAAAAGGAAACAGTAAAATGATGGTGGGGTCTGTGGTATTTCAAGGTGGTTAGTAAAATAAGATGAGTGAATTATCTAAGGATACAGCCCTCCAAACAGAGGGAGCAGCCAGTGCAAAAGGTAAGAAAGAGCCTGTTTAGAATGTGGGACTAGAATGAGGTGAGGAAGGAATAGAAGGTTATGAGGTCAGAAAGATGGAGAAGGGCCAGAACTCACATAGCCCCAATGGTTGGAATTTGGATTTCATCCTCAGTGAGAATTGGAAGCCCAGAATTAAAAGTTTAAAATCTGAAATTCTAGAAATTTAGTGGGCTGAACAGTGGTTAAGAGCACTGGATGTTCTTGCAGAGGACCTGGGTTCAATTTCCAGCACCCAAATGATGGCTAACAACCATCTGTAACTCTAGTTCCAGGGGATCTGATGCCCTCTTCTGGCCTCCATGGGCATTGTATTTACATACATGCAGGCAAAATACTCATACACCTAAAATAAAAAGAATAAAATATTTTAAAGGAATTCACTCCCAAACAAAAATAATTTTTAAAAATATAGTGGCAATAAGATGGTTATAGTTATGGTGCCTACTAATACAGGCAATGAATTACAACGTATTCCAGTGTTGAAATATCATGTAGTAACTACCCAAAACAGTAAACATGAGGCCAGTGTAGCAATATGAGAAAGGGCTTAATAAATTATTTTATGATTGTATCTGTATAACTTAAATATACAGATTATAAGCAAAATTAGAAAAATCATCACCTTAACTTTTTCAATAGTGAGTTTGTGAATGATTTCCCTTTTTATAATTTTCTGCAATAAAATTATTTGGACAGTTATTGGTAGAATGAATCATTGTTTTGAGATAAGATCTCACTATATAGCCCTGACTGGCCTGGAGTTTGCTATGTAGAGAGGGAGATCTGCCTGTCTCTGCCTCTCAAGTACTGAGATTAAAGGCAGGCACCACCACAATGAGCTAGAATGAGTCTTTGGCTACAATGAAATAATTATTTCATTTTAGTATATCCTTGGAGTTAGAGAGATGACTCAGAGGTTAAGAGCACCTACTCTTCTTGCAGAGGACCCTGGTTCAGTTCCCAGTTCCCAGCCCCACATGGCAGCTAACACCCATCCTTAACTATAGCAAAACACTCTTTCACATATAATAAGAATAAATAAAATCTTTAAATATATATATTTATCTCCTCAATAAAGCTGTTTGTTTTGTGATCTCAGTTGAGCCCAGGCTGGACCTTGAACTTGGGATCCTCTTGCCTCAGCCTCCTAATTATAGGAATGTGCCACCATACCCAGCTCAGCTAAATGAATCCTAAATTTTTATTTGTTTCTTTATTCATTTATTTATTTAATTTGTGTATGTGTGCCTGCTATGTGCATGTATGTGTGTGCAGTTAAGTGTGCCTATAAAAGGCATACAGGGAGGCCAGAAGAGCGTGTCAGATTTTTAGGAGCTGGAATTACAGGCATTCATGGAATGCTGACTTGTTTTGTAGGTGCTAGGATTCAAACTCCGGAGCCTCATGTTTGCACAGCAAGGGCTCATAACCACTGAGCCATCTCTCTAGCCCCTAAATGAATTTTTGATTAGGGCCCATCTGTTCTCCAGGTCCTCATAGCAGTTTAGGTAGGGCTAAATCATCCATGGGCCAAGACTCATCTCTGAAGAGCTTCTCATAGTTTTCCCTCTTTCCCCTAGTGCCCTGGAGGCTCTGATCAACTTTGCTTACAATGGCAACCTTGCCATCGACCAGCAAAATGTGCAGTCACTGCTGATGGGTGCAAGCTTCCTGCAGCTGCAAAACATCAAAGATGCCTGTTGCACATTCCTCCGAGAAAGGTAAGCAGAGTAGATGGTAGGGAGCATGCTCTGTTCTAGAACTCTCTGCCACTTTACTGAGTTAGTGGTGTATCTGGAGTGTTTTGAACAGTGAGCTGGGAAGGTTACTCTGCAGAAGTGGCATTTCTTGAAATCAGTACTGGGCAGAGCCCACCTGTTTGGGCTTTTACATAGCCTTGCCTATATTCCTGTGGCATTACATACACCTCTTTTGATCTTCCCTCTCCAGTTGGATCAGCCACTAATTTAGCTAATTTCTCACCAAGCTGATTTTGTGGGGTTCCCTAACTGTTCCATAGTCATCTCCATGTTTGTATAGATACCTAGCCCTCCATGAATTTCTTAAATTTCCTCTTTATTCCTGCAGCTCATTTAGAGGTCGCCTAACTTCTCATAGAATTTTCTGTCCCATTCTGTTCACTGAGAACAGTCATCATGTGATCTTTTAGGGTGATGACCATGTTATACCCCACTATTTCTGCTGCTTGGTAAAGGACCTTATGTGTTCTTCTATGACCTTTTAACTAATCAGAAAAAAAAAAAAAAAAAACTTCCTCCTCCTCAGGGGACAGTGCTCTATCATCTCTGGTCGAGACTTGAGGACAAGAGTTTGGGCTTGGGCTGAACACCGGCAGAGAGAAACCAGAAGGCACCTACCTCTGTTTGAATGTTGCTCTTCCTGGTTCAGCCTCCTTGCTTGGCTGATGGCCAGCATGCCTTCCACTTCAATTCTGCCCTCTTAAAGCTGACCTCCCCTCCCCATCTCCCTACAAGTTCCGAAACTACAGTCCCACTCACTGAGACACTTTATGGCCCCTGCTGGCCATCTACATCCTACCTTCGTGGTGCTTATGGGCATCACTGAGCAGTCATGTGTGCACCAAAATATAGTGACTGTGGTGGTGATGCCTCAAATAAGAGGTGCCCATCAGCTAAGGTCAGGGGAAATGGTTTCATCTTGGGGTCAGTGGTCCTATGTGATGGAAACTTTGTAGTGATGGTATTATCCCAGAGCCAGGCTTGTCCCTGCCATGGGACACCTTCTAGGGCAGGCTGAAGGGATGCATGTGGGGAGGTGTGAGGCACATTGTCTTTCATACCCATTCATGGGGCCTAAGGACACAGACTGAACTTGATTCGTCTCTTTGTTCCCATAGAATTTGGAGAATGGCTTTCTGAGGAAAGGATTAAGTTGGCCATTCTTACACCTTCATCAAGGGACAGCAGTTCCACCTAGGGGCTCTTGAGGTCATCACTGTCAATACTAGATTCAGGCTGTCATAAGGCACTGTCACCTAAAAGATGCTGAACAGTTCCTTTGTTTTATTTTTGTTTTTTGATTTTTTTGAGATCTGTCTCACTCTATGGCCCAGGCTATCCTTGAACTCACAGCAGTCTTCCCCCTCTACTTCCCAAACCCTGGGATTATAGGTGTGAGCCACCACACCTACCTAAAAACAGTTACTTTTAGATCAGTGCAGTTTTTACATGTCACATTAGCATCTGAGGAACAAGCACTTAAAGCCTGATGATTTGAGTCTTTCTTCAATATTTTCTATTCATCCCTGCAGGACCTCTTCGGAGACTCAAGCCCCTACTTTATTCCTGTCTTTTTCCCTACATATACCCCAGAAGCCTGGCCTACTTTCTGTGTTCTCTCTGGTAGTTACTGTTTCTCTCCTTCTGAGCCTGGCTGTAGACTGTAGTGAGGTCTTCCAGCTTCCCTTTTCCACATACCTTTTAAGACAAACATGTGGGCCTGTCTGTTTCCAGGTTTGATTGCCAATGCCTTGAGGAAGACCATTCTGGGCATGACAGCATAGAGATGCTGTAATGGCAGCACAGTTCTTAGAGCAGTGATTCCTAAGGCTGCTTGACCTATTGGATCTTCTGCCTGTTGCTTCACCCCCACATTTGATGTTGCAGTTGATTTTTTTTTTTTTTTTTTTTGTCTTATGAACATTTTCCCAGACTGCAGATACATGGACCTCCTGGCTTTTATGTGGACACTAAAGTAAGTTTCTGACACTCCTCTCTCAGAACTAGATTGTGTTGGGTGTTCTTATTCTTGAGGTGCTAGGGAATCAAACCCAAGGCTTGCAAATGCTAGGTAAGTGCTCTACCATTGAGCTACATCTTCAGTCCTCAGCTAGATTGAAAATCAAGTGCATCAGTGAAACAAGTCAGTGACTTATTTATTTATTTTTTTATTTACTATTTATTTGTCTTTGTCTCCCTGTAGCCCCAGCTAACCTAGAACTTGCTATGTAGACCAGGCTGGCCTCGATCTCACAGAGATCTGCCTGCCTCTCTAGTGACTTATTTAATCAAGTCCCTGCTTCTTGTTTTCAACTTACTGCATCTTATGCATTCTCCTTACTGACAAAGTTGAGCTGTATCAATGAGGAAGATGGTTATGGATGGGGCTAATGAGAGATCTGGGTCTCTTTCCCCTTTAGGTTTAATTCTCCTTCTAGTCTCCATCCTCCTAAATGGGCCTGTTTCCTGTGTGGCAGCTGTCTCTTCCTTTCCATTTACAACCTCACAAGCAGACTTCCCATTCTCCCTCCTATCAGGTGTAGTAGCACAATTCATTAAGGCATAATCAGTATTCAGTATCAAACCAAGCAGATCAGAGATTCTGAATCAGAATCCTAACCTGAGAAGAGGGTGGAAGGAATGCCGGTAGCGGCGCTGCTCATCTTCCCACATCCGTGGACTCCATTCAGTTCCCAGTCTGTGGTGCTGGCTTGATGCCAGAGCAATGGCATCAAGTATGTGCCAAGCACATGCTGGAAGCCCAGGTTTATCCTCTTATTGCCTTACATTTGTAAAGTGCTTTAACATCTCACTCAACCAGTATAGGTGCTTTAGGAAAAAAGCATTATTTGATAGATGACTGATGGAGTGACATTCTGACCTTGACCCTGTCTTCCTCCCAGACTGTGCTGTCTTGTCTATATGCTCCACCTGGGGCTTTTATTTCCTTGGTCTTTAAAAATATATTTAGGAGCCAGATGTGATCATTTGTGCCTGTAATCACAGCACTCGGAAGGCTGAAGCAAGAGGATTGCCAGTGTGAGGCCACTTCCCTGGACTACATAGTGAGGTCCAGGACAGTCAAGGCTCGTGTATGTCTGTGTAAAGAAGCGTTATTGAAGAAAAGAAAGGCTAGGCAGGGTTTTGTTTTGATTTTTTGAGACAGAGTCTCCCTGTAGCCCCATATGTAGACCAGGCTGGCCTTGAACTCACAGAGATAGCCTGCCTCTGCCTCCCAGGTGCTGGGACTACAGGCATGCGCCACCACACCTGGCTGGCTAGGCAGTTTTTAATCTACCATCTCCTTCCATATATTAACAGTCACAAAGTCAAAAACAAGAAGAGTTTGATCCCCCAAGAGTCCGCTGCTGTCACCAAGAATTCAGAACCATACTGGCTCATTTGGAATTAAGAAAAACAAACAATAGAAATTAAAGCAACAGCTAACTTCATGCTAGACACTGAGTGCTTTTGCCTACATTCAGTGTGTATGTGTGTGTGTGTGTGTGTGTGTGTGTGTGTGCATGTGCAGGTGTCCACAGAGGCCAGAAGAGGGCAATGGGCATTGGATCCCCTGGAGCTAGAGTTGCAGTTGTAAGCCACCTGACATGGGTTCTGGGAACCAAACTCAGGACCTGTGAAAAAGCAGAAAACACACTTAACTACTGAGCCATCTCTCCAACTCCCTTTTTTTGGGGGGGGTCTTTTTGAGACAGGGTCTCCCTGCAGCCCCAGCTGGCCTGGAACTCACTATGTAGACCAGGCTGGCCTTGAACTCACAGAGATCCACCTGCCTCTGCTTCCCAAGTGCTAGGACTACAGGCATGCGCCACCATGCCCGGCCCAAACACAGGTACACTTACACACATGTAGGCAATACATTCATTCACATAAAAGCTCAGTGGTTAAGAAAACTGGTTGTTCTTGCAGAAGACCTGGGTTCGAATCAAATCCCAGAATCCCCATGGCCGCTAACAACTGTCCGAAACTCCAGTTCCAGGGCATCCAACAGCCTCTCCTGTCCTCTGTGGGCATTGCACGACATAGGCGCACTTACCTACACAAGGCAATACACACATACACATAAAATAAAAATAATAAATATCAAAATTTTTTTTTATTTATTTAGGATTTTCTTGAATTTTATTATACTTATATAGGTAATAGCATTTTTTGTATTTGATGCAGTGTCCATAATTATAATTTATAGTAATTACCTAAAATAAGTGCAAACAAACTGTGTAACCATGCAGTAAAGGGTAACATGAACACTGACACACTGCATATCACCTTTTCTTCCAAAATCAGTAAAAATAATAAACAATTTATGAATTTTCTTCTTTTTTTTTTTTGTTCTTTTTGAGACAAGGGTCTCCCTGTAGCCCCACTTGTCCTGGATTCACTATGGAGACCAGGCTGGCCTTGAACTCACAGAGATCCACCTGCCTCTGCCTCCCGAGTGCTGGGACTAAAGGCGTGCGCCACTACACCCAGTCGAATTTACTTCTTAACCATGCACAGAGGAGGCCATGCAAATCTCAGTATGTTCCAGTTTTGCTATTTGTGCCACTGAAGCAAGCACTATTTTTTTTTTTTTTACATTTTTATTTGAGAGCGAGAGCAAGCGAGCAAGAGAGATTGTGTTGCGGGCACATGCCTACACACTCACACACATGTGGAGGTCAGAGGACAGCTTGTGGGAGTTGGTTCTCCTTCCATCACATGGGTCCTGGGGATCCAATTAAAGTTGCTGTCAGGCTTGGTGGCAGGTGCCTTTACTCGCTGAGCCATTTCACTTGCCCATAAATACTTTTTTGCTTATTTGAGATAGAGTCTCACTATGCAGCCCCAGCTGGCCTGGAACTCACTATATGGACTGGATTGGCCTTGAACTCACAAAGATTCCCCTGCTTCTGCCTCCCAAGTGCTGGGATTAAAGGCACCACACCCAGCCTGAAAGTACTTTTTTTTTTTTAATCTTTATTTTTGTTGTTCATTTATTTATCATTTGGACTGCACATGGATGGAGGTCAGAGCCTGTTCTTGCTTCACCTGTTAGTCAGGATCTATCTTGAGTCTGCTGCTGCACTGAGTACCCAGGCTAGCTGGCTCATGTAGGAGTGCTAGGATTATAGATACACATCATCAACACATCTGGCCAGTTCTGGGGATAAACTCAAGTCATCAGTCTTACACAGCTAGAGCTTTTATCTACTGAGTTATCTCCTCTGCTGTGTTTGTTTCTCTGAGTCAGGGTCTCATGTAGTACGGGCTGACCTCAAAGTCCTGCTCTTCCTGCCTCCATCTCCTGAGTGTTAGGATTGCAGATGTGTACCACCATGCCTTGCCTGTTTTATTTTTTAGAGATTATGTAGCTCAGGGTGGCCTCAAACTTCTGGGCTCAAGTGATCCTCCTACCTCACCCTTCCAATTACTGTGACTACAAGGCACCTGCTACCGCACCCAACTGCCCTTTCTTGATCATAGCTCCATCCCTAGGAAGAGGATAGTTGTCATTATCTTTTCCACAGGAGGAAATTACTGACACTTGACCTACCAAGGTTCCTCAGAGAAGGGCAGGACCAGGATTTCCCAGACTCTGATGAGTACATGTCTGCCCCTATGCTATGGAACAGGAACAAGAGGCTTGGCTTCATCTCATCACCTCCACTTAATTGTCTATGAACTGGGAGCACATTTCTTGGTTTCCCTGGGCCTCCCTCCATTTTTCACTATAAAATAAGAGCAATTTACAGGGTCGTTATATAGATTTTTTTTTTAATATGTGTATGTCTGTGTGAGTATATGCCATGTATAGGGGAGGTGCCTGTGGAGGCCAGAGAAGGCATGGGATCCCCTGGAGCTGGAGTTGTAGACAGATGTGAGCTGCCAGACATGGGTGCTGGAAACTGAACACAGGTTCTCTGGAAGAGTTACAAGTATCTTCCTAACTGCTTGAGCCATCTCTCCAGCTGTTACAAAGATTCTTAAAGAACTGAAGATGTAGTGCACAAGGTCTTAGGTTCAATCCATAGCACCTTAAAAACAGTATAAATATTCTGCAGAATGGCTATAAAAATGCCTAGCAAAGGATTTAACTCATTGACCATACTAAATAAATAGAAGCTGCTGCTGTTAGTTCTGTGGGTCTGAACACAGGTTCATGGAGTCTACCTAAAAAAAGAAAAATGTGTAACGATCTCTATGTTAGAAAAGGTGTTTCATCCACTCAAGGTGGAATAGTGCCCTAGACATCCAACCAGAAACTACAGCAGCTGAATGTGATAACAAGTTTTACAGTCATTTTCTCCTGCCCTCTCCTGTGACAGCCACTTCACAGGGCTTCCCGAGAGTCTGCCACCTTGACATGAGCACTGTGACCAAGAATCAAAGATGGGAAGACAAGTCTAGCTGGGTGTAGTGACACATGCCTTTAATCCCAGCTCTTGGGAGACAGAAACAGGTAGATCTCTGTGAGATCAAGGCCAGCCTGATCCACATAGTGATTTCCAGGCCAGACTGTCCAGGGCTACTTTAAAAGGGAGTTGGAGAGATGGCTCAGTGATTAAAAGCCACATGGCGACTAACAACCATCCTTAATTCCAGTTCCAGTGGATCCGATACCCTCTTCTGACCTCGGCAGGCATTGCATGACATGGGTGTACTTACTTGCATGCAGGTAATACACTCAGACACATAAAATAATAAAAATTTTTAAAAAAGATGTGCACCTATTGTCACAAGGCATTTCCAGCAAGGCTAAGAACAAAATTTATTATTCTGTGGCTCTGCTCAAAAACATCCCAAGAATGTTCCTTTAATTTTTTTTTTTTTATCCTCTACCCAAAAGGCTTCACCCCAAAAATTGCCTGGGTGTGCGCCAGTTTGCTGAGACAATGATGTGTGCTGTGCTTTATGACGCAGCCAACAGCTTCATTCACCAGCACTTTGTAGAGGTATCTATGTCAGAAGAGTTCCTGGCCCTGCCCTTGGAGGATGTGCTTGAGCTGCTGTCTCGGGATGAGCTGAATGTGAAGTCAGAGGAGCAGGTCAGTGAGCACAGCAGCAGCTTGTTCAGCCACAGGGGATGCTGCTCTTCTGTGTGCGAGCCCACACAAATGATAAATCTGCAATCTTTATATATTGTGGGTTTTGTTTTATTACAGATTTTTTAATTATAACTTTTATTATATTTTAGAATCTAAATCCCTTATTTTTGGATATTTAGGTTAATTCCAATATTTACGGTTATAAATAATAATTGCCATGAGTCAGGAGGAGTTTTATTATTATTGTTGTAAGGTGAGAGAAATTATAGCATACTTGACCAGTGGTGGGATTTTTCCAGAGGTTGGGGGAATTTATCAGTTGGTAGAGTGCTTGTCTAGCATGTACAAAGTCCTGAATCCGATTCCCAGCACCATATAAATAAGGTGTGGTTGTACATACCTGTAATCCCAGCACTAGGGAGATGAAAGCAGGAGAATCAGAAGTTCAAGCTATATAACAAGTTGGACTAACCTGGAATACATGAAACCCTGTCTCAACACACACACACACACACCCCACTGTGGAATTGGGGAAGTTTTTGAAAGCCGGTTATAGTCATCACAGAAGGTGAAGCTATTAGAAATGCGAAGTAAAAGACCCATCTTCTTGAAGGTCAAGAAAAGTTAAGAGGAAAGCATAAAGCATTAGTAGCGAGAGAGGAGCAAAGGATAAGCCTTTCCTATCAACAAGGATGTAGTGTAAGTGGGTTTAAGAGAATGGAGAGTGTTATTAGGGGCAGAGGATAGTGAGGGCCAGCAGTAAAGGGCCTTGAATACAGAGTGTGAAGTTTGGATGTGGCCCAGCAAGCACTAAGGGATCACTGCATTCGATCCATTGAGAAGTTTAATCAAAGTCTGAGACACTTAAGAATATTTGAAATCAGCCGGGCATGGTGGTGCACACCTTTAATCCCAGCACTTGGGAGGCAGAGGCAGGTGGATCTTTGTGAGTTCATGGCCAGCCTGGTCTACATAGTAAGTTACAGGACAGCTGGGCCTATAGAGAGACCCTGTCTCAAAGGACAAAAAAAAAAAAAATGAAATTAAGAAGCCTGGGCTGGGGAAATGGCTATGGGTAAAGCACTTGTACAAGTACGAAGACCTGAATTTGAATCCCCAGAACCCACATCAGCACACATCTATAATCCCAGTGCTCCTCTGGTGAGGTGGGAGGCAGAAAAAGGAGAATTCCCCAGAAACTCACAGACCACCTATCCTGGTATACACAGCAGCAAACAACAAAGAAACCCTGTCTCAAGGTGGAAGGCAAGGACCAATATCCACAGTTGTCCTCTGACCTCCACATTCATGCTGTGGTGCCATGGCGTACCTGTACCCCCACACACATGCACACACATCATGCACAAGAAAGGCGGGGGTGCAAGTCAGTCTTGACCTGCTGTGAAGCTAGGCTTCAGCCGGATGAACTCTAGGGGACAAGCTGTTGAGATGTTAGCGGACTCAGCTAAATTTCCTGAATGTCTGAAGATGTCTGAAGAGTCTCTACCCCTAAATATCAGTGACCAGTAGAGAAGTGGACCCTGAGCTTGGCAGCATGAACATAGTTATAAAGAAGAGCCTTGTCTCAACAGGGTGGTTTGACTCCTAGCTTCTTCCACTAACCAATGTTACTTAGGGCCACTCACATTTATTTGAGTGGCACATCTATAAGGGCTGAGGGGTTTCAGAGGGAGATATCCCTGTGGGTAGAGCCATTAAGAAAGACCCCTTGGGGCCCAGATAAATGGCTCAATGGTTAAGAGTATTTCCTTCTCTTCCAGAGGACCAGACTTTGTTTCCCAGGACTCAGATGGGTAGCTCACAACTGTCTGTAACTCCAGCTCCAAAGGATATAATGCCCTCTTCTGGCCTCCCCTTAGAACTGCATTCAGGTGGCATACATTCACACACATATAAATAAAAACAATTTTTTTTTAAAAAAAGAAAGGGTTTTTGGAGAACATGGGTCTCCAACTAGACTTTAAAGAAGGGGAGTGGGCTTAAATGAAGAGGTTGAGAGGAAAGGCCATTCAAGGTGAGGGACAGCATGAACAGGGGGGAACTGGCTTGGCCTGACTAGTACAGAGAATGGTAGAGGGGTTAGAGCTGGTAGGGTGCAAGAGCAGCAAGAAGGAAGGAAAAGAGACATTTTGTGATGTAGAAAGGAAATCAAAATGAAAGCCAGGAAGCTGCTACAGTAACCTTAAATTAACCTTGCTTACATTACAAAAGCCTGGACCTAAGATGAGTGTGTGACATATACCTAAAATCCCAGCATGCAGGAGGATCATGAGTTCTAGGTCAGCCTGGTCTGATAGCAAGACCTAGTCTCAAAAACAAAAGACTAGACCTAATAGCATAACTGGAGAAGAAGTGGAGAGAAAGCTGTGGATTCTAGACATGAATAGGAGGAAAGATGGAGGCACCCAAGGAACTGCTTCAATATAGGAAGTGGAAGGATTGACATTGAGGGGGCAAGAGCAAGGTCTCTGGGCAGCTGACAGAGCATCTGCTCTTGATCCTTACAGGTCTTTGAGGCTGCATTGGCCTGGGTCAGATACGACCAGGAGCAGAGGGGGCCCTGCCTGCCAGAGCTGCTGTCCAATATCCGCCTGCCTCTTTGCCGGCCCCAGTTCCTATCAGACCGAGTGCAGCAAGATGACCTGGTGCGTTGCTGCCACAAATGCAGGTAAGTGTGAGCAGCCTTGCATGGGCAGAAAAGAGGATTTGGCTGTCTGTCCTAACTCAGGGGAAGAAGGATTTGGAGCGGTCAGTCTTAATTCAGGGAGTATGAATTACACAGGACTTACGTAGTGCCAGAGAGGCATTGCCATGTGGGAGTATAAGAGAGGAGCTTTTCTTCCCTAAGGTATTTCATTACACTCTATCATCATCCACTAAGCAGTTTGTGCATATACAAGCCTCTATACTTCCTGCCCTGACCCTGTCCACACTGGCAACTGACATGGTATATAAATGGGACTTCCTGGAGCCCTTCATCCTCTTCAATAAATAATAACCCATTCACTAGCCTTTGATGAGTGATATGTAAGGGAGGTCTTGTCTGTTACTATGTGAAACTTGGTTTTTGTTTTTTGTTTTTTTTGAGACAGGGTCTCTCTATAGCCCCAGCTGGCCTGGAACTCACTATGTAGACCAGGGTGGCCTTGAACTCACAGAGCTCTGCCTGCCTCTGCCTCTCAAGTGCTGGGACTACAGGCGTGGGCCACCACACCCAGCTAGTGTGTGAAACTTCTACCTAGCAGAAAATCAATAGCATCTTGGCATAGTAGAGCTACCAGCACAGTTCAGAAGATGAAGTGTGATAAAATTCAGGCAACAGAGAAAAATGTTCATCCTTCCAATATGCTTGAGGCAGGAAGACCTCAAGTTTGAGGCTAGCCTGGGCTACACAGCAAGACCCTGTTTCATGGTGGCGTACGCCTTTAATCCCAGCACTTGGGAGGTAGAGGCAGGCAGAGCTCTGTGAGTTCAAGGCCAGCTTGGTCTACATAGTGAGTTCCAGGCCAGCTGGGGCTACAGGGAGACCCTGTCTCAAAAAGACAAAAAAGAAAAAGAAAAAAAAACAAACAATTGCTTGTCATATTAACAATGGAGTGAGGTTTTTGGCTTTTCTTCTTTTGATTATTTTCATTTGTTTGTTTTCCTTGCTGACAAGATTTTTACACATACTTAGCTCTCTATTTTCTCACCCCTGGTTGTGATCAGCAGGCTCAGGAGGAAATCAGTGCTTGGTCCAGGCTTTGTGAAGATGTGTCAGGAAGCAGGGAGGTGTGGCTGGAGGGAGCTGGGACTCTGTGACCAGTGGTCTCAGAGGTTACATTGAGGCACATGAACTATTCTGTCAGGTAGATATCAAAGAAGGTTCTTAGAAAAAGTAGTGTGGTCTTCAGTATGGACAGTGGGCTAGAGGGCAGGCTATAAATCCATCTGGAACAGTTGGTGTAGCTGCCACTGTGCAGGTGAGAGGTGACTGATTAAAGAATGTGAGCCATGATATGGTCATAGGGGTGGAAAGCTAGCGCTCAGTGCTGACAAAATTGGGCTGCTTGAGCTTCCCCCAGTATTGCCATTTTAATCACCACACTGTTTTTCAAAGTCACACCCAATGTGTGCCTATTAGAAGATAGTCACTCTGGGCACACTACCTGAGGTAGCCTCTGCTCATTTTGCTCCTTCACTTCTGAACGTATCTCAATAGCCCTGCATGGCTTTCTCTGATCTCACCTGAGTTCTGTGAGAACAAACCTACAAGTGCTGGGGATGCAGCCCAATAGTACAGCATTTGTCAGGATTATATGTGACCCTAAAATCAATCCAGAGGGGGTGGGTGGGAGAGGAGGGAGGGAGGAGGAGAAGGGGAGGGGAGGAAAGATGAAAGAGAGAGACTGAGGGTTAAACCTTACAGAGAAACTAAACTCTCCAGAAGAGTTCTCCCAGTTTTCCCTACACTGAGGCGTGGAAGAACCAGGCTCAGAAGTGTAAATGTGCTGCCAGGCATGGTGGCGCTCACCTTTAATCCCGGCACTCTGGAGGCTGAGGCAGTCGGATCACTGAGTTCAAGGCCAGCCTGGTCTACATAGCAAGTTCCAGGCCAGCTGGGGCTGCGGGGGGAGACTCGGAGGGGTGAAGACTCAGCAGAGGGGGAGACTGAAAGAGGAGATGATCAGAACAGGCACCTCTGGTCCTAGCATCTTATACCTTATTCCAGGGACCTGGTAGATGAAGCAAAAGACTATCACCTCATGCCAGAGCGCCGGCCCCACCTGCCAGCTTTCAGAACTCGGCCTCGCTGCTGCACGTCTATTGTTGGACTCATCTACGCTGTGGGAGGCCTCAACTCAGCAGGTATCTTGCAACTCCCCTTTGCAGAGCCTTTCCTGGGACTCCTTGGATGAAGAAACATAGTCAGCCTAGCCTGACCCTTCTCATTCCTCTTCTTTATACAGTTACCTCTCTTGTCCCTCTTGATTTAATGTAATTGCTCTAGAGTAGAGCTTATTATATATTCATACCATTAAATCGATGTCAGTGTCAAAGGTGCCTTAAAGAATTGGGTTTCAGGGACTGGAGAGATGGCTTAGCAGTTAAGAGCACTGGCTGTTCTTGAGAGGACCCAGGTTTGATTCCCAGCACTTACATGGCAGCCAACAACCATCCAAAACTGCAGTTCCAAGGGATCCAACACCCTCTTCTGACTTCCATGAGCACTGCATGACCCAGGTGCACCTACCTACATGCAGGGCAACACACACACATTAAATAAAAATAATAAAATATTTTTCAAAACATAAAAAAATTAAAAGAATTGGATTTCAGCCAAGCATGGTGGTGCATGCCAATAGTTCCAGCACTTGATAGGCAGAGGCAAGTGGATCTCTGTGAATTTGAGACTAGCCAGAGCTACATAGTGAGACCATGTCTCAAATAAAAAAAAAAAAAAAAGAGCCAGGCAATGTAACACATGCTTGTAATCTCAGTACTTGGAAATGAGAGGCAAGAGAATTACTGCAGGTAAGGCCATAGTAACTTCCAAACCAACTAGGGCTACATACCAAGGCCGGAGGAGGAGGAGGGGGAGGGGCGGAGGGGGAAGAAAGGGAGAAAGAGAGAAAGAAGGAAGGGAAGAAAGAAAAAAAAAATGGTGGCACAGACACCTGTAATTCCTGCATTTGCAAGGGATCACTAAGTCCAGGGCAGCCTAAGCCACATAGTAGGATCCTGTCTCAAGAAATGGTTTTGAGGTTACCTTAGCTGAAATTTATAGATGAAGAAATTGAGGCCCAGAGAATTTGGGTATTGTGCCCACAAATTGCTGCTTTAGGCAGAGCAAGAAATAAAACTTGTCCTAGTTCTTGAAGCAGCGCCCTTCCCTCACATTAAGTCGTCTGTAGCATTTACTCATCCCAAGAGAGGGTACAATCAGAGATCCACCCAGTTCTGTAATCAGGCTGTTCACATTCCATCCTGTGGATCTCTGGGTCGAACTGTGAGAATGTCACAGGGAAAGATCATCATCCAAATACCGCAGATCTGCTACATCGGTCATGTTTTGTCACCTTCTTACACCCCCCTGTGATGCGCACACATGTTCTACATCCACCCATTAGCAGCTCAAGCCCAGTTGTGTGGCTGATTGTATACCTGAAATCCTAGCGCCACAGAGGCTGAGGGAGGAGGGTCTTGAATTTGGGGGCAGACTGGATTATATGGAGAGATTCTGCCTTAAAAACAACCACCACCAAGCCAGGCATGGTGGCACATGCCTTTAATCCCAGCACTCAGAGGCAGAGGCAGGCAGATCTCTGAGTTTGAGGCCAGCCTGGTCTCAATAGCCAGTTCCAGGCCAGCTGGGACTATAGGGAGACCCTGTCTCAAAAAGATCAAAACAACAATCCAGCAGCTCTTGTAGTAGATACAGTCACATCTCTAGGAAAGCTCTGGGGCGCCTCCCTTCCTGGAGAATTAGTGGGAAGTCCACAGTTTTGTTTTCAATTAAAGTTTATGAACAGTAGAGAGTGGGCTTCTGTTTGTTGACAGTGTGACCTGGAAAAGATAAGTCTTCAGTTCTGTAAACTCAAGAGTATAGCAAGTGCTCAATGGTCTCAAGCAACAGGGAAGAGATTTGAGTTGATAATCCTTATAACTGGAGGAAAATGGCAGGGTTGGAATTTGTTCTTTGTCGCTGTGACTGCTATTTTTGAGTACTAAGGATATTCTAGAGCCATGCTAGGTATCGTACCTGTTATGTATTGGATCCTCTTGGCAGTTCTGCCTTAAACTTCACAGGATGGAGACACAGAGCAGGTTGTCTGTGGTTACGAAAGTGAGTGGAAGTTAGCATTGGGACCCATACCTTCCCTCTGGGGAACTTCCTGCATTGGACAAACATTCTATTCATTTGTCTTTAATGTTGGCTTCAAGAAAGAGGCATACTGATTACAACTGAAACTACTCACTAAAAATGCTTCCTGTCAGATTCTGATTTTCCTTAAAGAAAGTCTTTATCATGGCTAGAATTTCTTAATGGGCCCATACACCCTGGTAATTTGTGGGAAGGGCTAGTAGAATCAAATGTTCCATATAACCAATGCCCAGTAGCTGTGATCTAAACAAGTGGTCTCATTTGTTTTAATTTGAGTAGCAAATTTTTATGCAGGTGATTCCTTGAATGTGGTGGAAGTGTTCGACCCCATCGCCAATCGCTGGGAGAAGTGCCATCCCATGACAACAGCCCGCAGCCGTGTGGGTGTGGCTGTGGTGAACGGGCTTCTCTATGCCATCGGAGGATATGATGGTCAGCTGCGACTGAGCACTGTGGAGGCCTACAATCCTGAGACGGACACATGGACCAGAGTGGGGAGCATGAATAGCAAGCGAAGGTATTTTGGAAGCCACGTGCAGGCCAAGCACACACACTGAGCACCTGGGGAGCCCCATTCAGGGGCACCTAATAAAGTAAAATAGAAGCTTGACCTGGGGAAATCCTGCAGCCAGGCCAGCCACTGCCAGCACCTCCTGGGAGCAAGCCCCCATCCGCTTAAACATAAAATACCTGTCCTTTGAGAAACTTGGGGAACAGAGACATGGACATGTGGAAGTTGTGTTATTTAAGTGCCAGATAAGGACTGAAAATGTGTGTTATGGAAGATTCGAGGAGGGAGAGAAACTGGACTGGAACACCTGGAAGATTTCAGGGAAGAGGTGGGATTAAAGTTGAAACCTGAATAAGGAAGATTTAACCTTATTAATACTGAAAGGAAATCTAGGGTGTTTTCTTTGTACTTTCCTTCTCACGCTGTACACATGTTCTTACTGCCCAGGGAGTACATGAAACAAAGCATCATTCTGTACCTCAAGGTCACACATGTTCCCCAGATGTGAGCACAGATATATTTGCAAAGTGGATTGAGCTTATGTCATTGAACATGGTCTGACTACTGGTTGGTGCTACTCCCTGCTAGCTCACATTTCCTGAATAAGAAGTGGAATCAGAGGACATCCTGTATCCTGTAGCATCTCGTTTCGCTTTCTTGGTCCAAAGATGACAGGCAGCATCTTTCTTTACGTCATGTGCTGCAATGGTAGGAGGGCCCTACTGTTTGAAGGGTGTCAGTGGACAAGCCCCTGTCAGGCACAGTGGATGAGTAGTCTGAAATGTTACTCTTATGTCTGTCTCTCCTCAGAGGGACCAATGGAGGAAAGAAGTTCTAGATTCCCAGCCCATCTAACCAGAACAGCTCTGCATTTTGAACTTTCTTGACATGTCCAATTTTAGGAAGGAGAATTATGCAGTTTTTAAAGAGGCAGTTTGAAAACCCCTGGACTAGTTGCTCTTTAATAATAGTCTTTCTGAATAATTCTGTGATCTAACATCTTGCCTCACAGATAAATCCATTCTCCTTGTCCTACTTCAGGGTCTCTATTTGTAAGATCATGTGACTGGGAAGGGAAAAAGAGATCAAGCTGGCATGTGTGGTAAGGAAGTAGTTAGTGTGGAAGGCTTTGCCACAAAAAAGTGATACACACATTCCACATTCAGCAGTATTAGCATGTGGCCATGAATAAACCAGGAGTCTGCCTCTGTAGCAGTAAGACCAGATTCACAAAAGGTCTAAGTAGATTCCTTTTTGAAGAAAGCAGCATGTATACAAGATGTGCTTCTCCCAAGAAGGTTCTCACAGTTCTTCCTCCCTCCCCACCTTGGTGTGTCTCCCTCTGCCCCATGAGCATTTTGCATCTTTCAGTGGTTGAGGGGCTCATTGCCCTCATCCCCAACCACAAGTGGCTTTTTTACTTTGACTACAGTCAGCTGGCTTTCCCTGTATGTTTGTTCGGGTGACTTTCTTGGCTTTGATGTCAGTGGGTTTGGATTGTTGTTTGGGAGGAAAGACCTCTGGGTACTGTGGATAATGCCCTGGTATTAGCAATGTGGGCCCAGTTCCATGCATCCTTTTTAAATTATAGGTTACCTTAAAATGTTTTAGTCACTTCTCTCCGAACATCTCACATAGCTTCCCTTCCTGCCAGTGACAGCTTCCTTGCTGCCATCTTTTCATCTTGACTCTGTCTCCAGATGTCTGTACTGGATTATTCCAGTTCAGGCCAATTAGAACTTCCCCTTCTTCCATCACTCTTGTCTTTGCCTCTTATTTGGTGCCCTCTTGCAGTCTGGGAGCACCTCTTTTTTTTTTTTTTTTTTTTTTTTTTTTTTTTTTGGTCTTTTTGAGGCGGTCCCCTGAAGCCCCAGCTGACCTGGAACCTGCTGTGTAGACCAGACTGGCCTTGAACTTACAGAGATTCGCCTACCTCTGCCTCATGAGTACTGCGACTAAAGATGTGCAACACCTCTTGATTCATTCTCATGCCATTTTTAAACTCTGAATTATATTATTTTGTGTTTGGGGCTGGGACTGTAGCTCAGTGGTAGAGCACTTGCCTAGCCCCTAGATTCAGTCCTCAGTATTGCTACGAAAAAGGAAATAATTTGTTTTATGTCCATATTTAGAATTACTGTCTCCTAAGCCCTGTGCCCCAAAGTGGCTTCTCTACCAGGCACTTGTCACAACCATTCAATTGTCCACTGGATTTTCATCAGCTACTTGCAGGGCATGCTGGCTGTTCTAGACACTAGGTTAAGAGTAATGAACAAAGCCTGGGCATGGTGGTCCATGCTTGTAATCCCAGGAGGCTAAGGCAGGAAGATGTAAAGTTTAAGGTTAGCCTGGGCTACACAGCAAGACCCTGTTTCAAAAACAAAAGTAAATTTATATAGTAAATTTGTTGTCTCCTCATAGACCTTGCTTAAAACAAGTCCTCTTTAGGCAGGTTCAGAGGGTCTGTTACTGTGTTTGGATCAGTTTGATTTGCTGTGTGTACTTGAAAGGTGACAGTTATCCTGATACATTTGAGTTTCCAGTTCTTTCTAGATTCATTTTTAGCCTTCTGTAGTATCAGATGTGAAAACACTGAATCAGGCAGCTTAGCATTCCTGTTTAAATTTTCATAAGGCTTTTTGTAGAATGGAAGATTGTATGTATCCAGATCTCTGGATACTTATGCTTTTTGGTGAGCTTATATGTGGAGCAGCAGTATTGGGCTAGTGTCATTTAGATCCCAGGTATGGCTTCCCCAAGCAGCCTTGAGAAAAGAGCCCAACACCACCACCACCCCACCCCTGTCTACCCACAGCCAGCTGCCCCTGTGTTGGGGGTTGACAGTGATTCTTCTTTGCAGGGTGTGGTAAGGGGTGATACATGCAGATAACAAACAGAAGCTACAGCCTCATCCAGCAAGAAAATAAGGGACCATGGAGGGCAACGTGTAACAAAAATATGTGTCACATTTCAGAAAGAATTGAATAGGAAAAATCAGAGGTAACATAACAAACATGTTAAGCTTGGGACCTGTTATATAAAGGATACCACAAAAATCACAATTGAAGTCACACAGGTGAAGACCTTTCCTGAATTCAAAGAAGTTCCTATTTGCTAAGAGGTGGCAGATAGATTTCTCTCACCTCATGGTGACAAACATAAATACTTGTAGTCAGGAACTTTGGCTTGCTCACTTGTTATTCTGTTTGTGTGTCTTTTTGTTTTTTGGTCTTTTTGAAACAGGGTCTCCCTGTAGCCCCAGCTGGCCTGGATTCACTATGGAGACCAGGCTGGCCTTGAACTCACAGAGATTCACCTGCCTCTGCCTCTGCCTCCCAAGTACTGGGATTAAAGGCATGTGCCACCACAAAACAGGGTCTTGCTGTATGTAGCCCAGGCTAGCCTCAAATTTGAGGTCTTCCTGCCTCAGCCTCCTGGGATTACAAACATGGACCACCATGCCCAGGCTTTGTTCACTACTCTTAACCTAGTGTGTAGGACAGCATGCCCTTCAAGTAGCTGATGAAAATCTGGTGGACAAATGAATGGTTGTGACAAGTGCCTGGCAGAGAAGCCACTTTGGAGCACAGGGCTTAGGAGACAGTAATTCTAAGGCAAGTTGGACTTTTTTTTTTTTTTGAGGAGAAAGAAGACTTGGATTTTAAAAGTAAACTAGACTGCTAGAGCTGGAGAGATGGCTCAGCAGTTAAGAACACTGATTGCTCTTGCAGAGAACCCATGTTTAGTTCTCAGCACTCATGGCCTTAATAGCTGCCGTAACTACAGTTCCAGGGGATCCTATGCCCTCTTCTGGCTTCTGCAGGCATTGCACAGCACAGTGCACTTACATGTAGACAAAACACTCATACACATAAAATAAATATAAATAAAATTTTAAAAGTAAATTAGTCTGAGGGCCATAAGATGGCACAGAGGGTAAAAGTGCTTGCTGTGAAACCCTGACAACCTGAGCCCAGTACCAGGGACCCACAGTGGAAGAAGAGAACCAACTCCCAAATGTTGTCCTCTGACTTCCAGGTGCATGCTCACACACACAATAATAATAATAAATTAAATGTTTTTAAAGTAAACTAGGCTGGATGTGATGGTGTATGCCTGTAATCCTGGTAGTTGGGGGGTAGAATCAGGAGTTGAGTCATCCTCTGGCATCTGGAGTTTAAGTCCAGCCTGGGCTGTGAGAGACTTTCAAAACAGCAGAAAAAACAACAAAATGTTAATTAAACCCTCAGCATGCTGAGGTGGGAGCTGAGCATTTCAGGTAGATCAAGGACTGAAAAATGCCTGGAAGAGGAGGTAGCCTGGGACTAAGGTGGTAGGGGCAGGCAAGAGGAACCACAGAGAAGATCTGTGGCCTTAAGTTTATACCTTTACCTGGTTGTTTACCTGGGATTAAGGCCTATTCTAGAAAGAGGCAACTGACAGGTTAACATTTCAGGGGGTATGACAGGCTGCTGGGATGACCGTTCTGTCTGTTTCAGTGCCATGGGGACAGTTGTGCTGGATGGGCAGATCTATGTCTGTGGGGGCTACGATGGCAACTCTTCCCTCAACTCTGTGGAGACCTATTCACCTGAGACGGACAAGTAAGTAACTTACTGAACAATATAAAATACTAGAGCTACAGCTTTTTTGTGTGTATGGTTGGTTTTGATTTCTGAGACAGGGTCTCCTACTGTAACCTACGCTGGCCTCAAACTCAGCAATCCTCACACCTCAGCCTCTTGAGTGCTGATATTATAGTCATGAACCACTTGCCCACAACTGCCTCCTACTACCAGAGCTTGTACTTGTTAGGCAAGTGCTCTGCCACTGACCTAGGTCCCCAGCTGCCACCTTTTGTTTTGCATTGTTTCATTTTGATTTGTTTTGTCTTGTTTGAGAAGAGGTCTCAAACTCAGTAACTTTGGTAATCCTCCACCTCACCTACTGTAGTGACATGCTATGGCACCTAGCTTTAAGCTTTTTTTTTTTTTTTTTTGGTTTTTTTGAGACAGGGTCTCCCTGTAGCCCCAGCTGGCCTGGAACTCACTATGTAGACCAGGCTGGCCTTGAACTCACAGAGATCCACCTGCCTCTGCCTCCTGAGTGCTAGGATTAAAGGCGTGCACCGCCACATCCAGTTTAGCTTTAAGCTTCTTAAGAGTAGAAAGTGCCCTTATAATACTTTACATATAATAGATTTTAAAATCTTAGGTTAAATGAATCTTTTGATTAAATTAAAAAAAAACAAAAAAGAAACAAAAAAAAACCAGACATGGTGGTTCATGTATATAATCCCAACATTTGGAGGTAGGGGTAGGAGGATCAGGAGTTCAAGGCCAACTGCTTGAGACCCCAAACATAGATACTTGGAAACATTTATTTAATGGTTTGTGTCTCTTAGCTAGATCAGCCCATTTTAATGGAAGTACAGGCAAAGGGCATAAGAAGCAGATGGTCAGTGGGTTCCAAGACCAGTAAGGTCTGATTTAGAAGAAAGAAGAAAATGTGTGATCAAATAAGCTTGGGAAATGGTGTCTGTTCCACCAGAGTCCTTGTCTTTCTGTAATACATACAGACATTGCAAAATTTCTAGAAAATTCAGTGGTAAGGAATCTTGTTTAAACTTGCATTTTATGTAACATCTATTACAATCTTGTGGGATGCTCCCGTGGAACACCAGAAAACACTGACAGCATTAGGCTGAATTCTTCATTCTTCTGTTTAAATTCTCTAATCTTATGTAATAGAATGTGAGCAGTGGGCTGAATGAACTCATCAGGATGTTTTTAGGCCAGTATTGTGTTACTTAACCACCTATGTATCAGGCAGGATGCTGGTTCTACCTAGTACCCGGTGTGGCAGGGCCATGGGTACATTGTGAGCATCTTGCAGAGGCCTGTGCCTGGAGCTCTCAGCACAGAGTGGGAAGCACTTCTCATCTCCCTGGGGCAGGGGGAAAGGTGTCTTCTTAGATTCATCAAGGATAGACAGTGATGCTTGGAAGATAGCTCAGTCAGTAAACTGCTTGCCTTGCAAGCATGAGGACCTGAGTTGAATCCTCAGAACACACGCAAAAATGCCAGGCATGTTGGCAGTGTGCACTTGAGGCAGAGTCAGGAGGCTCCCTGGGGTGTACTCCCCAGTCAGTCTAGCTTAATGATGAACCCCAGGCCAATGAGAGACCCTGTCTCAAAATAGGAGGTAAACAGTGGTCCTGATGCTGACACCCAAGATTGTCCTCTGGCTTCTATATGCATGTGCACACATGCATAGGCGTGCACTCATGTGTACACACACACACTTTTACAAAGGATCGACAATGGAATATGCTTATCTAGACAAGGAGACCACAGGCAGAGGCGCAAATAAAGTGTTCACTGTAATTGAGGTCAGCAATTAGGATCTATCCAGTGAACTGTAGCGTGTAATCTGGAAGAGAGATGGAGTGGATGGGTATGATGCTAGAAGATGGTTGAGAACCACATGGTAAAGAAACACACCCGGTTAGTAGGCACAGTAGCTCATTAGTAATCTCTGCACTTGGGAGCTAAGGCAGGAGGATTACTTCAAGTTCAAGGTCAACCTACAGAGTGTGACCTTGTCTCAAAAAACAAACAGCCAGGTGTGGTGGCACACATCTTTACTCCCAGCATGGGAGACAGAGGTGATTTCAATGAGTTTGAGGCCAACTTGGTCTACATAGCATGTTCCAGACTTGCCAGTACTACATAGTGAGACTCTTTCTCAAAAACAAAAACCAAGAGAAACTAAATAAACAAAAAGTCACACTGAGGTACTTGAGTGCTGCCTTTGAGAAGGCAGTGAGGAGCCACTGCAGGGACATGGCAGAGCCCCTGGAAGAGTACATTGATTTCCTTGGCTCTGTGGGGTTGTAGTAAGAATGGTCTGAAAGCCAGGCTACCTGTGTGAAGGCCATTGCAGTGGTCCATGTGAGAGGCCACAGCTGGTATTAGAAATGGGACAAGTAAGGACTGGGAAGCAAATAACCAGTAATTGTGGACCACAAGATTGTCGAGGATAGGGAGGAAGAAATCAAACACTAAGGCTTATTAGTAACTAGGTAGCTGGAAGTCCGGTTAACAAGACCAAGGACGGCAGAGCAGGTGCAGATGTGTAGGAGTGCCCTTGTTTGAGACATGCTGATTTTGCATGCCCAGAGCCAGGCTGTCAGCTTGGGCGAGAGGCAACAGCCTCATTTTTATCAGCAGAGGTGGCGGGAGAGGTGATTAGAGGTGATATAGAGAGGTTGTCAGGATGCAAGAGGACATAGGAAAGCTCACCTGAACTTTGATAAGCTGTCTTGGGAGGTCAGAAACACTGAATCTCATGCCCCCTCGTGTTTTCACTCTCTTCTGAAGGTGGACAGTGGTGACTCCAATGAGCTCAAACCGCAGTGCTGCTGGGGTTACAATCTTCGAGGGCAGGATATATGTGTCAGGCGGCCACGATGGATTGCAGATCTTCAACAGTGTGAGTCTGCACTCTTCCTAGCTAATGGTAGCTACTTCTATCCTTGAATTTAGCCCTGGCTGGGCATGATGGCACAGGCCTTTAATCCTAGCAGAGGAAGCAGGACTCTGTGACTTCACGACTAGCCTGGTCTTCATAATGAGTTTCAGCCCAGGATTAGGAATGCAGCTCAGGGGTATAGTGCTTGCCTAGCATGCACAAGGCCCATGGTTCAGTACCCAGCACCATAAAAACCAAACAAGAAACAAATTTCAGCTCTTGCCATTGCTGGAAAAAACATCATTTCTAGGCCATGTCCTGCATCCTTTGAAATTCTTAACTTCTGGACAAGAGCCAGTGTACACGAGGCATAGAGTATAGTCCCTTGAACCCACATGAATCACATACCAGAAGTGCATTTGCAAGCAGTTGTTGTTCTAGACACTTTGACAGAAACAGCATTTATTTTTTTAAAAGGCTCAACAGCCCTGTAGTAGTAGTTCCAGAGTCAGTACTGAGGTAGAAAGTGCTCCAGACAGTCACAAGAGACCTCACTCTCATTCCAGCTCCGCCATTACCTAGAGCACGTCTTTGGCAAATCCTTTCTTTGTTTCCTTGAAAGTTGTACCCAGAAAGGGTCAGCTTAGGTATAAGAATAGGTATACAGCTGGGCATGGTGTCGCACGCCTTTAGTCCCAGCACTTGGGAGGCAGAGGCAGGCCTCTGTGAGTTCAAGGCCAACCTGGTCTACATAGTGAGCTCCAAGCCAGCTGGGGTTACAGGGAGACCCTGTCTCAAAAAAAAAAAGAAGAAGAAGAAGAAGAAGAAAAAGAATAGGTATAGAGCTGAGCAATGGCATCAGAGCTAAAGTACACTGAGCTCCTCATTCCCACATCTCTCCCATCTGATACCATGTGGGGCCTCTGTGCCCTGCAAGGTCACCCCATGAACCAGACCTGGACTCTGACCATCCTGTACCTGTGCCTCTCTCCTGCTGCAGGTGGAGCACTACAACCACCACACGGCCACCTGGCACCCAGCAGCCAGCATGCTCAACAAGCGCTGCCGACATGGTGCTGCCTCCCTGGGAAGCAAGATGTTTGTTTGTGGGGGCTATGACGGCTCTGGCTTCCTCAGCATTGCTGAGATGTACAGCTCTGTGGCAGACCAGTGGTGCCTAATAGTGCCCATGCACACCCGCCGGAGTCGAGTCTCCCTTGTGGCCAGCTGTGGGCGCCTCTATGCAGTAGGGGGCTATGACGGACAGTCAAACCTAAGCTCAGTGGAGATGTATGACCCAGAGATGGACCGCTGGACATTTATGGCCCCCATGGCATGCCATGAGGGAGGGGTTGGTGTGGGCTGCATCCCTCTTCTCACCATCTAAGAAGATGGAATGTGGTGGGATAGGGATCTGGTACAAACATAGGAGCTTTCTTCCAGGGGCAAGCCCTCTCAAGAGAGGCAGTGGTGGACCAGAAATGGAGTGAAATGTGAGCTTGCCAGAGGTACAGTTTTTTTCAGGTGCTTAAGTCCTCCCTCACTGCACTGCCTTTGTGACCTTAGGTCATCAAGGTGGACATTTTGGGACAGAAGCCCCTCTGGGTCCCATAGCCAGTAACTCGGAAGTGCTTTGCTGGCCCACGTGTTCACAGGTACCATCCAAGCCCAGCACGCACCTGCTGCAACCCTGGCCCAGCTCCCACTTGCCCCAGTGCTGTGAGCGTCCATGTGCAGGCCTTCCATCTGATGCTCCTTGCCTGCTTATTCTCTAGCCATGTTGTGCCAGTCTGCCATAGGAAGCTGCAGTGTCCAAGCCTGTTGGAAACTGGGATAAAGCTGGGAGAGAAAGGGCACCCCAGGTGGCCTTGCTGCCTGTGATGGTGCGGCTACAGCAACATGCTGGCTGCGGGAGCTGTTCCTTCTTCCATCGTAGGACACAAGCAAGCAGGGAAGGCAGAAGTCTTCCCCTGACTGATTCGTGGGAATTCAATGAGGTCTTTTTCATCTTGTCCCGGAGAATCAGAGGGAAACAAAAACACTTGAATGAAACTGAAACAAGAAAAGGCTCGAAAGAAACTGGAAGGAAAAATACTTTTTTAAACCATGAACATTTTTTTTACAGAAAGAAAATGTAAAAGACACTAAAAGCAAATACACATTTGAGTGGAAAACCATCAAGCATGGAAATACTGGTATCCGCTCCCACATTCAGATCCCGGGGTCCTGAGGCCTCATAAAGCAGTTGGGGTTCCCCCTGAGCCCCAGTGTGTCTGAAATCAGGGCATTCCCAGCTAGTCCTATAGCAAGGTGCTCACGGGGTTAAGTCTTCTGACCCACCATCAGAGGATGTTTTTAATCATAGGCTTAGTGAGTCGGCGGAGTTACTGCCACTGCCCTCTGAGGGAGCTGCTCACTGTGGCTGGAGGCGCCAGACAACCCTGTGTTGGCCTCCCTCTGCCACATGGCGCTCACTCAGCTTCCCCACTCCCACACACATTCCTTCCCTTTTTGACCATCAGGAAACAGCATGTCTGGCCAGAGTCATACTTGTCCATCAACCATTCTTGGATAATTTTCCTCATCGTGACACCTCTGGGGCACATTGACTGTTTGTGTCCCTAGGACCTAACCAGGGGTTTACTCCTACCAGCCGTGGCCTAGCCTGGCCAGGTGACCTTGTCTGCCCTGCCATTCCATTGCTGCTCCATCCACTTGCCAATCCCAGGGGTCGGGCTTCCCTCCAGCCCTTGGCAGACTGACCAGCAAGGTGGACTTTCACATTCAAGCAACGCTGGCTTTATGATATAACTAAAGACTAAAAAATAAAATTTTAAAAGTCTTGCTGCTGCAAAGAAGAGATTTTTATATTTCTTCCTCTAATCTTGGCACATGACCTCCTGAAGAGACTCCATGCTCCTTCATCCTCTCTGGATGGGACCTTAATGTAGCACAGATGGTCCCAAAAAGGAGGACATTTTCTATTACCAGTGCACTGGGCAGTGGAACTGACCTTCAACTGCTGCTGCCAAAATCTGGTTTTCTAAAATTCTTCCATTAAAGACTAAAAGGGTCTAAGTCCTTTAGGGTCCCACTCTCCACCTGGTTGGTTTCTTGTCCTTTGTTGCCTGCCTGGAGTGGCCTGGAAGCCTATTCAGAGAGGCACAATGTGAAGCCTGGGGGCTTTCCCCCACTCCAGACTGTCAGGTTTACCAGTGTGTGCAATTGCCATAGATTCAGAGGGATGGACCTTTGTTCCCTGCATCTTAGGAGCTGGGCCTCTGCTCTAAGCACTTGAAAATGATGTTTTTATTTTAAAAGACTGAACAATCTAATAATGGATAGAGTTTAACTAGGCTCCTTGTGAGCTCAGTATAGCACTTCTCACTTCCCCTCCAGTTGCCTGCAGAGGTAGACTAAGGAGGAAGTGGGGGCTGGGGGGGTTCTTCATTTCCTGTTTGGAGGAGTGTATCAGTACCCATCTTACTAGGAGTCCCTTTGTTTTATGAATGTACAGCAACACTGCCCAGCATGGACTGTGAAGGTGTTGAGAATCAGGCAGTGGCCTCCTAAGTGGGCCTTGCTGAGTGAGTCCTTAGAATGCTAACTAGACTTCATCCTTGGGACTGATACTTCATTTCCCTGGTCTGCTGCTGAGTAGTAACCTTCCTGAGTCCACTCCCACCTCCTGTTGTAGAACTTATACCATGCATATAAGGACAGTATTTTGATCCAGACTCTGAGCACAATAGAGCAAAACACAAACACAAACATTTTCACACTCACCCAGTCTGAGGGCAAGTGGCTGGTCTGGATCTTTGGGGTTGGAGTGTTTCCAGGAGGATCATGAAAATACAGGCAGCACCCATGGATGTTGTGGAAAGAATGTTACGAAGTAGGTCAGACACACGTGGTGGCCATAGGGTTTGACCCACCTTACCAGAAGACTATGGTGTCCACTGCCCTTGTGCGTTTCACAGTCTTGGATGACACACAGTCTTCTCTGGGTTTCACCTGAGAACACAGCCAGAGAAGAGCTGAAGACCAGCCTCTTGCCTGACCTCAAAAATGGAAATAGAAATTCTGTCCCACTTCACCCACAATTTATTGTTCCACAGAAAACCTTTTATTTATAGAACGCATGTCTTTTGTGTTAAGAAACCAAAGAGAAATAAAGAGAACACTCTTAATACTCTTGCCTTTTCCTAACTTATTTGGGGTGGGGGGCAAGGGTCAACATCAAGTGTCTTTCTTGATTGTTCTCCACCTTAGTTTTGAGGGAAAGTCTCTTACTTGGCCTGAAGCTCACCAATTTGGCAAGACTGGATGGCGAGCAAGTCCTGGGAATTCACCAAACTGACCCCAGTAAGTATATTGGGCCAGGTGTGGTGGCACACGCCTTTAATCCCAGCACTTGGGAGGCAGATCTCTGAGAGTTCAAGGCCAGCCTGGTCTACATAGTGAGTTCCAGGACAGCTGGGGCTACAGGGAGACCCTGTCTCAAAAT